GTTATCATTGACTTTCAGAAGCCGTATCTGGCAGTTGCCTGTGGTGGTTTGTTGATGCAAACTCCACCCTTTCACCAAAAACATTATACCCAGACTTTTTAACAAGCAGATGAGAAATACATCCTAGGATGCTATTTAATAAGCACTCATGTTGTAGTAGCGCCCAGCTGACAAAGATGCTCGTGTCCCTCAGAGTGTGCAGTCCCAGTTACAAAAGTAGACAGGAAGAAACAGCAAAATGGAGAGAAGTGCACGTTGTGAGGATAGCACAGCTAAATGTATGAAGTTTGTGTGGTTGTTTTTAAGTAAAGTGTTGATGTCTTGGATGTTCTGGTTTTGCTCTCTTCTTCCAAGAGAGGGAAGGAATGTTTTCCTGCTGTTATCCTACTGCTTTTATCCTTCTTTCCAGTTGCTATTGCCTGTGCTTAAAGCTGACGTTTTTCCTGATCAGAATGCACCACCTTCTCCACAAAGTGCCCCAGTGCACCTCAGTTTGGTTGAAGTACCAGCAAAGAAGGGAGCATCATTCTGCAATTCACCCCTAGTGTCTTTGCACAGAGAAGGGAGGAGGGTTGAGAATTCTGAGGAGCCAAGGGTGAGTGAGCTGGTAGACATGTGACAAAACATCAGCTGAGATGGCCCCAGGTTTTTTCTACCAATAACCATCCGTGTTGCCTTACTGCCACTGAAGCAGAAATACCAGATCTGCTTGCAGGTCAGCTCCTGAACTGCTCCTGTTATCAGTCACATCCAATTATCACATTAAGGTAATCTCTTTGCTGTGAGTTTGATGTGGTCACCAGTTGACCTGCAAGCAGGTCTTCTGATAATGTGACTTTTACCTCTCGAGTTATTTTTGTCATGGCCCTGTTTACTGAGCTGATGTAGCTAGGATGTGATCTGTTTGATTTTCTTTGACATATACAGATTCATAATTTTGTAAGCAAGAAATGAAAACTCTAAATTGGGAGTGTCCACCTTGTTGCAGTGAAAACCTGTGCAAATTACGAGTTAATTCAGGTGTGACTGCCTTGCAGGACTGTTTTACATTGCTACGTGACCTACCACCTTAGTACAGCTGTAATTGCACTGGAAGAAGCAGAGGCTGCTGGGGAAACTGGTGTCACCAGCTCACCCAGGAGCTCCCATTTGCATGCCTAGATCAGCCGAATTAATAAATTCTCTGATCAGGAGAACTTGTAACCTCCTGCCAGTGAATCGGAGCTTCCTGTGGCCGTGGCACTTTGAGGTGTGTCCTGTGAGCAGCTTGGTGTGTGGCATCCAGGGAAGCTGGATACCAGCCTTCCCCCAGGAGAGACTCTCACAGCATCCAGTTTCCTCTATTAGAGACTTCACTCAATTGAGTTTGACAGCGCTGCTGTGTAAACAGATGTGAAAGACCCATATTAACAGTAACTGTGTTACCAGTTATTGTGAACTGGGCTGTGAAGCAACCAAAACATGGCTAAAAGCGCACATTTTAATGTTCTGTACCCAAGTAATGTTTGCAATGTTAGACTATAAACTGCATTTTAAATATTTTCCCTCAAATCTCTGCTTACTTTGGCTTGCTGTCTTGCTCTTCCTTTTAACTTGTTTTCTTTGCTTGACTTCATTGTGCCTTTTCTTTATTTTTTTTTTTTTTTTTTAAAGCAAAGCAGCACCTATTCAAATAAATAGGTTATTCGCTTCTTCATTGTGGCGGACAGAACGTTTTCTCAGTCTTCTCAGCTGATCTATAGGTAGAAGGTTGCTTCAAAAGGGGCATGCACACAGCCTGGCACCGTGGATACCTTTTTCTGCATTGCTGTCCCTGGTAAATTACTCAAGTGCTTGCCTTCCACCCTGGTCCCCAAGGTCTCTTCTGCACCAGCAGACTGAGAAGGAGCCAGAGACTGCACATTCTCTGCAGCAGGGAATTCTGCAAAGTTAGCTACAAGAAACAGCAGGGAGTCAGAGGTTTTCTGGAGACTATGAGGAGAGTACTGTATCATTTCCTTCTGCGGTTATAATATGCATTAGGTGCTCTGCTTCACCTAAAAGCATCAGATTGCCAGAAATTAAAGACTTACCCTGGGGGGGGAACTCTTCCCCTGCTTATCCACAAGCAGGTGAATTCTTCAGACATCATCTCAAAGGGAAAAGGGCAACGTTTCTGCAGGTTTCAAAGCCCTTAGCTGTTAGCCCACTCTTGAGTAAGGTCTACGAAAATTTCCAGAAACACAACAATAAAGCAGAAATGCTTAGTTTTCAGAAGGAGAGCTGTGTGGCTGCCCCACAGCGTGGGTGTCTCCTGTGAACTCGGGAGAAGCCTCTAGAAGAATGCAGGTTGGAAGCTGCCATTCTTACCTGGCTGTAATAACAGTTGTATGGCAGGCTTGTAGCTCTGGGTTCCTACCTGTGAGTGTCTCCTGCAGGAACAGCTTGTTTGCTGGCCTTTCCTGAACCGTATGAGCCTTTGCTGGAGATCACTGAAACGGGCAGCGCCGGAGTGAGCGATGCTGCAGTCCCATCCTCTTAGGCTGAGCCATCTGAGCAAACAAAATGGCATTCCAGATTTTCTCAGATCTTTCCTTTGCTTTGAAATAAAACATCCTGGGTTCTGTGTTTAATGAGAACTAATTATAAATAGGAAAAGATAGATATGTTTTTTTTAATTTTATTTTTTATTTTTTAGTTCTGCACAGCAGTATAGCTATGTATTTTATCATGAGTCAAAAATTCTGGTCTGTTACATGTAAACACACGTAATTTACAGTAAGACTTCATGTTTTACATAGATATTGCTTACAGTAACAAAGAGCGTGTGTTCCGCTGGGATTGAGAAGTGAACTAGGTCCAATCTTATTGAAATAAAAAATCATACAGATTAACTGTTATATTTGGCAGTCACAATCATATATACTTTTTTAAGGGAATGATCCTTTATATTTGTTCTTACTCATGCAATAGTCACAAGTGAATGCTTTGAATTGTGGGTCTGATTACACTGAGATTTTGACTTTGTGCATTAAAGTGGAAATTTTTGCAAGTCAAAGTTATAAATTATATAATTCAAACCTTGTTTCTTCTGTGGGGCAGCTCTTAGACTGTCACGGGCAGATTTTCTTTTCCTCTGGTTCTTATTTTCTTACATTCTAAAAAAGCACAGATAGCATTTGGGACCTTCTGGTTTAGTGATTTGTTCTGTTGGGCCTTTTCCCTTCCTCAAAAACAGTTTTTGCCAGAAACTGCAGAGTGGAGTCTTAACTTGAAATGGAGGAAAACAGTATTTAAGGACCTAGTGCATAACACTGCTGGGAAAATGTACACTTTAAAAATGAAGCTTTAGCTCCATAAGTGAGAGTAGGAAGGTATTTTTTTATTTCAGTGGAATTTTTGCACCTGAGCTGTAAGATCAGACCCTCTGAGTGCTACCTTGCACTAAATTGTATGTGGTATTCAAGAGTGTCAGCGATAAGGTTATAAGTTTTCCTGGAACTTTAACAAGAAGATTACTCCCACAGCTTTTCAAAATCTTGTTTGAATTTCTTGGATACGATTCAGAATATGCTTGTCAGCAGACTTGTTACAACTAATATTCAGTTAAAATTTATTGTGCCTGCCTTTTTATTGGAAAAAAAATTAATTCGAGTAAGTAATATTCTCTTTATTGTATGCAGGGCAATCTCTTGTTCACATATTTACTGAATATCTCAGTTTGCCAATATTTGGTTTCTTGCCTTGAAAACAAAATGCGACCAACGGTGTAGCTGCATTTTTGAAGAAGAAGGAGCAGTATGAATGTAAAACATCCAGCTTTAGGTGGGGTTTTTGCCCTAGGGTTACAATATAAGGCATTACCCATCCAGTACCACGGGTTAACCGAGAGGTGGGCAGATTCTCCAGAGAGACCTTCTGTAAGGACCAATATGTGACTTGGCATACTAAATGGTATTAGTCAAGCTCTGAATATTAGTTAGACCTTCCTGATAAAATTCCCTGGTGGTCCAGACAAGGGAAGTGGTGATGGTAAGCACGTAAACCTTCCAAATAGAGCTTTGATTTTTGGTGAATGGAGTCACTTTGAATAAGAGTGTATGTTTAATCCAGCTAACTTCTAGGAACAGGGAGTACAGCCATTGGGATTGGCAGAGCAAGAGGGGAATGCTACCTAGAATGTACTGGTTGGAAAAACTAAGCTGCATTAGATAATGAAAATATTTATTAAAGGTAATTAAGCAGATGCATGGATCCTTCAATTCAGAATTGAAATGGTTTAATTGATTTCTCATTTTATATTTGAAATAAAAGTAATTTAATTAATCCATTTTAAAAGCTGACTTGGATTACCCCTTCCAGCATCTGGCTTCGCTCTCAGGAGGTTATTTCACTAGTAGGCAATTAGCTTTCGGGGGGGCTGAGGAGAGGAAACTACAAGGTTAAAAGGTATCTTTAATGTAAAAGAGAAAAAAAACATAACAAAACCTGCTAGCTGGAAGCTGAAGACCAGTGTAAAGACACCTCTCAACCTCATGCTTTTTTCTTAGTTCTTGACGGTTAAAATCATGGCAAATGCTCGAGATTTTGTTCTTGATCTAATCCAGGAAAATGTGCCATTTTAGATTGAATGATAACAAGCCTCTGGCTGAAGCATATCTTATTCATTGGATGTACTAAGTTAAATGGTGTTTTTGTACATGTGTATTGTTCTTCTTTACCTTTAATTATATTAATGTAGGGATCTTGCTGGATGTAGGTCACCTTCCATGGATCCAGTTCTAGGGCTGAGGCACAGGAACAGAATAGCTTTAGAGCATCATTAATTAATATTCACTGCTTGGTTGATAAGCCAGGTGTATGCATGATGAGTACTGACACGGTGATGGGCTGGTGTTCTGTTAATGGTGCTAACTTGATGACACTTTTTCTGGTAAATAGGTAATTACTGCAGTGGATCTCATTGCTGCCTAATGCAATGGAAATAAACAAAAAAGTAATACTACATTTCTTTTTTTTAGGTAATAATCTACGGGGATTTGCCAAAAAATAAAGAAAATGTAATATATTTATCAAATCATCAGTGTACAGGTTTGTATTTTTTTTGTTGTCTTAGCACTTTTATAGATTAAAAAAAATCTGCTTATCTGTTTACTGTGTGTCTTTCCAGCCTTGCCCTAATGAGCAGGAGCTTTGCGTTCAGAAACCTTTAATGATATTTATGTGTCTAACGTGCGCTTTTTGTTTCAGCAGTGGCAATTAAAAACTAGTTTAACTAAACATTTTGGGCTTTTGTCTTTGCAGTTGATTGGATTATTGCAGACATGCTGGCGATCAGGCAGAACGCTCTCGGCCATGTCCGGTACGTCTTGAAAGATGGGCTAAAGTGGCTCCCACTGTACGGGTGGTATTTTTCTCAGGTAAGCCCATTGACTTTTCCCTTGCTGTTTGGGGGTTGAATATATAAGATGCACTTTCCTTCCATTTATTGTACGTGCTAGGAAGATGTTTTATTTATTGTTTAATTCAACATGAAAACAGCGGGTTTCACTCACTATAGTTAGATGTGTATCTTAGCTGCATCCATAAGTCAAGTCAGATCAGTTGATTGCTAGAACCAGAAATAGGGGGAAAGCTTTGAGTATATGGCCACGGGTGGGAAGGCAGGGAGGAGGCAGGATAGCCCTTCTGTGGCAGTTGACTCTGAAACTTTGCCTCCAAGAAGCTAATGCAAATTGGATTAGGTTTAGAGAGCTTGGGCCAGGGGAGGTACGGATCCATGAACTGCCTCATTAGCACGCTGAAGAACAGGAACCCCCTTAAACAGTGGCCTTTCCCAGCAATCAGATGGCAGCCTTGGATCTGATTTGAACAGGGTTCAGAGCCTTGGATCGGGTCACATAAGATGCCCATCTCTAGGGTGTGAGCTGTCTCATGGTTTTATCTCGGAGCACAGGCAGTGGTTGGGGTTCCTGCTGTCTGCTCGGTGCCTGAGAGGTCGGCGTGTCCCCCGAGATACTGGGAGATCCAGGTTTGATGTTTGCAGCCTGGTGGTCCAAAGTGTTTGTTGTCTTCTGGATGAGTGCTTTGGGCGGCGAGTAGGCTATACATCTAGGCTGGAGCATAGGAGGTTGCCATCCTTTATTCTAAAATCTCTATGTTCAGAAAAGAATATGCTGCAGAGAAAATAAGAAAACTGTTCACGATTTCTTTTTATTGGTGGGGTTAGTGTCCCAGTCCCCTAAATAAGTACGGACTGTCACACCCTTTCATACCTCCACTGGGAGAAAAGAGACTTCTCTGTTGTCTAATCCTTGTCCCCGCTAATGACTCTGGTTCTCTACATTTTTCTTGCACTAAAGTGACCAGTCTGCTGCATGGAAATATTTTGCTCTTTGTCCTTGCCTGTAGTCATTACATTGGTGGTGATTTAAGTCAGCTTTCATTAAAATACAGACAGGATATATATTCCATCCGCTATCATTAGGTGTCCAGAAATTATTTTTTTCCAGATTTTGGAAAATTACTATTGCTATCTGCGATATCCAGCGCTCAGTTTCCTGACTGCTGTATCGACTGTTAAAAGAAGGTTCCTGTGGAAATTAATCTGAATGTAGCCTACGTTTTTAATCAAAACATATATATTAAATAAAAACTGTTCAGCTTCGGATTCCTCAAAACATAAAAATACTACAAGGTTTAATGGGGAACGATTATATATATATATATATATATATATTTAATTCAGTGACACAAATGAAAGGCAGCTTACTAACAGCGGTGATGCGTGTGTGCTTAAATGACCAAGACGGGATGCAGCAGGACTGCAGTGCAAGCTAATAGGTATTTTTATTGTTTTTATCACACCAAACAGTGCAAAAACATAAAACACTTCCTGCCCTTCCTGTTGATGTTCTGTCAGTGATGTCACTTACACTCCACTAAAAGTTTCCAGAGCCACGTAATTACGCCATGCTCACGGAATTCATATTCCCTACCTCAGGTAAACATCCTGTTTGGAAATAAACGTGGTCTGGATGTCCAGGAGAGCGAAATTCAGGCACAAAGGAAGTATATTTGTAAACATAATCCATTGTTGACTGAGAGAGGGGCTTTTAAAGTACAGCGGAAAAAAATTATAACCTTAAAAACAGTACTTCCAGAAATCTGTTTTGAAAAGCATTCATATATTTGATCTCTTAGTGAAAAGGAAATGCAATACAAATTGGGGAATTTGAGCTATATACAATTGCATAACTAGCATTCTTCTTTGGAGGCAGCTATCTAATAGCAAGAAAAGAAAAGAACCGCTTAAATTAACCTGTTATATTCCAGGTTTGATTTATTAGGCAGAGCTATTTCTTTTCATAAAGCCGGCTTTATTATTTTTGGGTGGATCTGAAATTTTTGTTTTGCCCTGTCTTTCACCACCAAAATGCGGCTCGCTCCTATTCATCTTATACCACCTGGTGGGGCTGGGATGTAAGTTTGATAAATATTTTTAATATCCCAGCATTTATCATAGGAAGTATGTCTTTGTCTTTTCTGTTATTCGGCATCAGCTTGTGCACCCTTTTGGTTGTTACTGAATTTTGGCCAGATATTCAGCTGCTATGGCATCTTGCCTCTCTTCAGCTTTGAAACCTTGCGCCATAGGGGAGCTGACATATTGATGTGGTTGGGTTGTATGCAGCAAATGGTGATGTCACAGTGTGTAATTTGTCTGTTCTTACCTTAAGTGACTGTGTACTCCTATTTACTTGAGAAGTACAAATCTATTGTCTGGCCATTAAAGAGTCTGAGGTGGGGGTGCCAAACTTGTCTTTGGTGTTGCGGTGTCCCTAAGCAAACTGTACAACAGCAACTTGATTTCTCCAAGTTCACGAATTAAAAAAGGGAAAGGTGGTTTGGTATTTTCCCAGCTTACTGCAGCTGGAGAGTAATTTGATAAATAAGCAAAGACTTTGATTCCAGCCTTCCCTCATTTATCAAAGCTTGGCCTCGCTGAGCTCACAGAATGATGATTTATGGAAGTCTTTTTACAGTAGATGCATCATTACTTCTCATACCAAACTGAGTTTGTCCTTCCTGAAAGCAGTTGCTGTGGTGAGTGTGACTGTACAGAATAAGACTTCTACTTCCCTTTAATGGTGGCAGATCTTAAAGATGTCCTGACACGTGGAGTGTGTCGATAACACGTGGCTCTCCGTTTGCTGCACAGCCAATGCAACGTTCTTCTGTTCCTGCCTTTATCTCTCTGGGGCTGGTAAACTGCTCGTGGGATGGTGCTGACACCATGCTCCAGCCTGCTGAAGGCCACACTGGCTGTACTGGGGGATTCTCTTCTAGGTTTTGGTCCCCTGCCAGGCACAGCAGCAGAGCCGAGCGCTGCAGCTGGCTGCTTCACCTTGGAAGGGAACCGCAGGCAGGAACGTTAAGGCAGAATATTTAATATGGTGGAGTTAATGCACCACTGACTCTCTGTCCCTTTTCACTGCAGCTTTTGGAGAACAACTTAAAAGTCAAGTACCTCTAGCTAAGCAGCTCCACAGCCAGCTCTCCACACCATGAAAAGCAAAGGCCAAAAGCACTTTGCATAACTGCATCATCTGCCTGCCTCCTCCCGGCCCCTCAGGCTTTATTCCTGTCCACGCCATGCAAATAAAATAACAGCTCCTCGCACACTCACCACCACCCCTCGTCCTGCAGTGTCTTGTAGCTTTTCCTGAGATAAGACATTTGAATGAGGTTCAGCTCTTAGAGTGTGTAAAACTGTAAATACACAGAAATTATCTGGCGAATCTTAATGCCAACAGCCAGGGTGGGCAGAAAAGAGTACTACCAAGTTAGGGAATTGGTTAGAAAACCCATGAAAATTGTGTACCTAAAAAATGAAATTCTGTTATTTGGAAGCTTTTTTTTTTTTTTTTTTCAGAATTCATTGTCTCTGTAGTCCATTTTGGAACATGTTTGTTTACATCCTGTTGTAGCCATGCTGTAGATAAAACAAAGTGATGGAAGAGGGAAATGATGAGGCAAATTTTATTTCTTTATATCCCGTTTTCTATGTGTGTACTTTGCCGTACTCCTTTTAGTGAAGTTTTTGTGATAAACCATGTAGAACAAGTTATATATATTAGTAAAAATATTTTTATAAAGGCTTTTGCCTTCTAAAGATTTTGTCTTACTTATTCAGTTATATTTCTTAGTATATAACTGCTTTATTAAAAGTTTGATTCTCTAATAAAATGCATGGAAGTTTGCAAGACTAAGTTAGTTACTTTTGTGCTACTCATAAATTTCATATGTATAGGCACAATACTTATAATTCCAGCATTCGCATTAGTCATTATTTAAGAGCAGGTGCATAAAATTGAAAACAGTGACCCAGAAGTACTTGTATGTGAGTAACTTCACTTGTGTGATTATTTTTTTTCCCTTGATATACAAGTTAAGCTTCTTGTTAATGTTGTCAGGAATAGATAGATCCCTGGGGTCAGTTCCAATGCCATCTTCCAGTTAATTATTTAACACCTTTAAGAAGACACTTCAGGTGTCTCAGGACTTTTTTTTTTTTTAGGTCTGCTCTTTATTTAAACAGATTTTGTGAGCGGAAGTACATGCAAATGTAAAATGAGTTTCAGGTGCTTTCATCCTAGGAGAAAACATCTTATGGGCAATTTGCATCGTGAGTCATAAAGGTGACTTGTCACTGTCATCTTGTTTGTTCTTCTATCAACTGTTCTACATTAAACTGCTTAAATATTTAATTATTTTCTTTCTTTTTTTTTTTTTTTTCCTCTGTTAGCATGGAGGAGTCTATGTAAAAAGAAGTGCCAAATTCAATGAAAAAGAAATGAGAGAGAAGTTGAGGGCCCAGATGAAAGCTGAGACTCCGGTAAGATTATACCTTCCTTCCCCTCCTCCTCATTACTTTGACTTTTTTAATGGCAAAGGCTTATTGGAGAAATGAGCCGTGCCTGATACCTACAAATTACAAGATGGTAATCATGAATTTGGTTTGTTTTTTTTTTTTCTGTATTTTTACAGTTACTTTTTGTGATCAGAGTAATACCTCCAATTAAAGGAAAATTGACTAGTCCTTTATGAATGATATGAACTTTGTGATTCTGTCTGTAGAGGGCAGGGGGCGTCTGGACTAAATCTTAGAAAATGAGCTGTACCACCATCCTTGAGAAATCACTGTCAGTGTTCCCTGTGTTTCAGAAGACAACATTTTGGCTACTGTAGTAAGACTACAGTCACAGACCGGTATTTTTGTAGAATACCGGTTGTTTGATCTTCTGAAAGTCAAGAACAATTCTCACCAAATCTTAATTAGTCATGCCAATGATCAATCATTTTTAATAGCAGTGACATCTTAGAACTGAGTAACTTTGTCTGCTACGCCTGAAGGAGAAAAGAAACAAAAAATCCCAAACTCTTGATAATTTTCTATTTGAAGAATGATTGTTAGTGCCAAGTGACTTTTCTCATGACTCCCTTTATGGTTTGTGGCTCAGTGGTTAGAATCACTGTGCTTCACTTCCATTACTTGCTGTGCATTAAAATGTTTCCTGTCTTTTTGGCTAGACTTAAGAAAACCAACTCAGCAAGCCTTGATATAGAACAGTTACGCTTTCATTTTCTTTAAAATGATGGGATTAGGACTCCAAATACTAAGTGGCAAACCTTTTATGAGCTGAGGCTTGGGTAAAAGGAATGCATAGGTTGTTCTGACCTTCAGAATAGTCATCTTCTTCTTTTTTGGAGATAGTGTGTTTATGTTTGTGCCTGTGTCTGTGTTGAAAAAGTAAACTGGCCTTACACTTACTGAGAGGCTTAAATGAGTGAAGTGTCCCTATTTAAGACAGTGCTCAAACTCATTTTTTCCTGAACTAAGATTTAGCGTGCAGGTTTGGGTGTTTTTGTTTTTGTTTTTAATTAAGATAAGATATTTAAGACAGTGCTCAAACTCATTTTTTCTTGAACTAAGATTTAGCGTGCAGGTTTGGGGTTTTTTTTTTGTTTTTAATTAAGATAAGGAAGTGGATCTATTTCCAGTTTTTAGCATATAAGTTACGAAGGCCAGACATACAGCTGAGCTTTTCCTGTCCGATATCTCATTTAATAATGTCCCCATGGAGAAGATGGCCAATATTCAGTAGTGGTAACCTGTGCCTGCATCACTGAGGGTCCTGGCACGTTGCTGAACTCCGTCACCTTATTTTCTGTCTGTCAGTGCCAAAGATTTTACTTTCTGTAAAACTTGCCATGTGATGGAATAAGCAAAGACAAATTGCAGGGTGTATGAAAGAGATGTGTAGTCACCCCCCTAAGCAATTCCTCCCCCTGCAGAGTGCTGGTTCACTTTGCTTTAGTCGGTCTGGGTGAAATACCCCAGCAGGGGGGTTTCCTTTATAGGTTCATGGACTTTCTGCTGGCCAGAGAGGCAGCTTCTGGTTCATTCTGGCTTTCTGGCTTCCCTCTGCCTTCCCTAAAGTGCAGATTAACAGTAAGGTTTTGATAGTGATACGAGTCTTAATTTGAACTCGGCATTGAATTAGTCTACTTTATAAAAATACTGATCTTTATTTTTTAATACAGTCTGAGGAAGATGTGTCTAGAAACTCATCTAATTCTGAGTCTCTTTAGAAACCTGCAAATGATGTTCAGTGTAGCTCCAGTGTTACAAATTGACTCAGGCTGGCCTGTGATTTTAGCCCAATTGGAATGCAAGGGGAGGTTTAAGCATAAAGCTTTTCTTTAGAGCTACATCTGCCATGGGTTCTGCTTTCCATGGGGGATGTCCACATGATAAATAAATGAAATAAATCCAGAAGGCTTTTTTTCTGGGGCATCACCTTTCTTCTCCCTCCACAGCTGTATGTGGATTGAAAAACTATACCTAAACTACCAGAGCTAATGCCAAATGAATTTGGAACCACTCAGGTACCATTTTTTATTTATTTTTTTTGGTGCAATTTGGCTATCTGGAAGTTCGACGGTGTTGGAAATGGGCACAGAAACTGGACACAATTACCAGGCAGTTGTTGCCATTTTAGTCATATTCTCTAGGGTGGCAGTACAGAAGAGAACTAAGTGTTACTGCTGCAGAAATGCATTCTCTCTTAAATCTCTTTCAGTCCATGAGACTGAACAGTGTAGGGAGTGACACTTAGGCTTTACAAAACCAAAGCTGTCAAAAGCCTATTTACTGAGACAAATGTTTGCATCTTCTGGGGTAAAAGACACAGACCACTGAGTTGTCATTTCAGGGAAGACTAGATTTTCTATAATCCACTTTATCTGAGAATTTAAGTGTAGATGCTGTAAATGCCCTCTAACCTACAGTTACTACTGGGAGAAGAATGTGATAAACTGTGTCCATACTGCATTATTCACAAAGAAACTTTGCAATTCTGGAACTTAGTGTGACATTCACAAGCTTTTAGAATGAAGACATTTTAATCAGTAAAGCAAGTATGCCCCAAACTCATCGGCTTCATGCAAAAATAATTAATTCACTACTCTGGAATTTTTATTAAAATTTCTGCACTGGATGTTACAGCTCAGGATGATGCTGATGCTAAACTGAAATGCCGTTGCGTTTCTTAGTGGAGATCTTGAACTAATAAATTATCTTATTTTTTATTCTCAGACTGTCGTTGAACTATAGACTCACATGGTTCATTATTGGGTCTTCTGTTGGCAAAACTCAGTTCAAACAATATGATTTTGTTTAAAATTACATAAAATCTGGCAGATTGTTAACCAATTGCAATCTTATGTCTTGTGAGAGCAGAAACTGTCACACCGTTTGAAGGACACTTTTATATTAATGTTGTTTTAATGTAAGCCCTAACAAGATAAACACATTTCTCAATGTAACAATGTATCCAGCCAACACTTGATATACTCAATCGGCTTTTTTTCGAAGTTAACTCTTCTGAACAGCAAATTACTCAGTTTTATAATGGAAAATGTAACTTACATTTCTTTTTCTCATGCATGGAGAGTAGGAAATCTGCATTCTGAGATGTGGGATTTAACCCATTACAGACAATATTTAGCTGGTTACTATGTGTTTTGGTTTTGTCATTCATTCAGTCACAGAATCAATCTTTGTCATGTGAAGCAGTGCCAACAAAACAGTAAAAACCTGGAGGGAACATTTTATTAATACGTTAATGCAACTACTATAAGGCTTAATGTAATTATTTTGTCATATAGTTACTAATTTGCAAATCCCTGATGACTTCTTTGTAAATCCTGAATGTCCTTGCCTGCTTTCTTCACATCACCCTTTGTATTTTGTTCCAGTTATACCAGATATACTTTCTCATATTGTATCTTTTTCAGTTATTGATCTGGGTGTTAATGTTTCTCATCCAGTTCACCAGAAGGATATCTTTGAGGCAGTGGTTTAAATGGATTCAGATATGAATCTGTCTAGCTGTCAGGATGCAATAATAATAATAATATTAAAACTAAGCAAATGCACTGTTTAATATAATTTTGAACTTTGTAAATAAAAATATTTCATCATTTTCCCCTTGTCACCCATCCCAGAACAGTAAGTGCAAGGTATCCTTAGGTAGTAGTTACCACTTCTTGATGCCCTAACATTCTTCTACAGTGGCAGCTGCTCTCTCCAGGACACCCTCTAAAGCTCTTTTTTCAGCCAGGATTTCTCTTTATCGCCCCTTCTTGCTTTTTGTGTGTGGTATCTGGCCTGACTTTGTTCTGTGCTCCAGGGACTCAGGCGTTGCTTTGTGTCCCTTTCCCCTGCTCTACCCAAACCAGCTCCTTTTGAGGCACTCTGATCTATCTCAAGGGCTTCCTCGGCTGCCCTTCTCCCCCCTCTGTGAGCAGGGCCCCTCTTGGAGCCATTCCTTTTTGCTTGGGAGACCTTGGCAATGCTGGGGAAACGAATAGAGTTGTTTTTCGGGTCAAAACAGATATCATCATCCATTCAATTCATTTGTGGATCGTGGCAAGTCTGCTGACGTTATGCTGGGGACTCTGCGGGCAAACCCCTGCCTCTTTTCTGGTTTTCTGGGTCCAGCAAGTATCAGTAGGGTTCTACTGAATGAATCCTGATCCACTCCTTGAACCTTTCAAATGGATGAGAGATGGCAAGTGTATTGACACCCACCCATTACGCAGAAACAGGCATGGAAGTACCATGTAACTGAACACAGGGACCTGCTCTGTTTGGGTTAAAATTAGTATATCAGTGAATGCAACTGTGGTAATGCAAAATTTTCTATGTTGCTTTGAACACAAGCACTGTATTTTGCAGGCACTGTGGTAAAATGCGTAACCTTTATGTAGCTAATTGCCCTAAATGAAAAATTATGTATAAAAACATTGCCTTAGCTGCAGCTAGTTAGGCAATTCTAGGCAACTTCTAGGCAGTTAAAATGTTCCTACAACTCAACGGTTTTTAATCCAAGTTCAGGGGAGCTTATTTAGTTATTAAAACCTTAGAGATTTGTATTTCTTGTAGTCTTTGGAAATAGTACTTAAGATTGAGCTTCTGCTGCCCGTGGTGGGAGAAGAGAAAAGCCAGTCCCACAAGTAGATTTGTTAGGCTGAATTGTGCTGGCAGAATGTCTTTGCCTTGTGCAAGACTGTATGTTGGTGTAAGTAGGACATCTATTTACATTCATGAATTTTACTCAGGTAAAGTAGACCTAATGAAATACATAATAGGTTTATATATGCTGAGTTTAAGGCAAAGGCCACTTCTCTGTCTTGTCGGTGTGCTTTAATTCAGAGAGATTTTCAGATTCTGCTCAACAAACCTGTTCAGCTGCTTCTGTTTTAGAGGTTTACAAGAATAATTAAATACAATTTCAGCCTCTGCTTTGTATTACACACTAGGACTGGAGTAAGTAGATACTCTTCTGTGTTGTGTAATCAGATTTTAGTGGCTGATTATCTGCTTTGAAGACCAGTAATGCTGTTGCGTGCTTTTAAGTGCTGATCTCTGTACCAAGGATGATTTTCCTGTCCCGTGTGCTTCACTTTCTTTGCTCTGTCAATTATTACCTGTTACAGCCACTGTATTACCCTTTGGAGCTGAGCATTCGTTCTTTAATGAGGAGGAGTAGCCTCATCTTTGAGTACCATTTTAAGGATCCAAATTAAGTGGTTTGAATGTAAGCACATTTATGAAAAAATGCATCTGAATTTTAATATTATGCCCTTTCCAGCTAACTAAGTTTTACTTAGTCACTTAAATATCTCAACAGTGTACTTCATAGATGAAATGTATACATGACTGGGGGAAGTGTGGACTGCAGCTGGGTCTAAGGATTCCTGTACTCGTCCTTGTGCTTATGCTACTGTCATGTTAGAAAAAAAGTAAGCACCTTGCCTCTTAAACCCATTTTCTTTTATTCTTTCCCCACCGAATCTGTATACATCTGGAATTTCTGCCTGTCCTTGAATGTTCTTGGACTTCACCTGCCTCTGCAGTTTGCTAGTTCTCCTCCTCCCCAAACATGCCATGGCAAGCCTTTCCTCCAGCTCTCTTTACTCCGCTCTACTGACACTGGTTTTGCCATTCTTAATATTTTTTTTTCCTTTTCCCCCTGCCAGATTCTAGGCTATGCACTCAGTTCTCCTCTTCCTTGATCTCCTGCTGGGTTCACTGGTTGGCACAATTCCTAGATTTCTCCCCTCCTCTGTGTTTTAACGCATCTTTCAACCTTCTTCGCTGTGGGGCGATTCTGGAGAGTTCAGTTGCTGGGTCCTGTCTTTCTGCATTCAGCCTTTTCTCTAGCTGCTCTGCAATCATAAAGTGCACACACCAGCACAGTGATGTTTTGTGGGCCAGAAGCATGAAGTTATATTCCTGTGTCTCTCCTCTGAGCTTTTATTTTACTTTACGTCTTGTCATGATGTGCATTCCCACTTGTCAGTGTCCTGTACTCACTGACAGTCCTCCTTTTACTGCTGGGTAAATCCACCATCTCTCTCCTTTCAAATATTTCTTGAGAGTCATTTCTGCAAAGATAACAAACTAGTGAGTCTAGACACAGGAGGCATGATTTTACTGCCAATGTGTCAGTGGCCATTCAACTCCAGGCTAGTTGCCGTTTGTGGCAGCAGCCTTTCCTTCTGCAGATGAGCCCCCCGTGTGACATTTTCACTTCTTAAGTCATGTGTTACATCTATTTTGTATGTAGGAGATTCTAAAAAAGGCACACACCAAAAAGAGAGAGAGGTGGAAAGCTCTGTTCTGTTTCAAAAGCAAATGGAAAATTCATCAGATTTGACTGCCTCTATTTGGGTACATAATTTGACATTCAGATATGCAGATACTTAGGCAACCTTTTTCTGGATAGTGATTTGAGAACACTTAGATGGGTACTGCTGAGTAGGCAAGCAAACGGATTTACTTGGCAAATGGAACTTTGCAAACATGTATGCTTGAAGGAATGTCATTTTAAAGTTCAATTTATGCTGAACTATCAGTTTAAGTTCATAATATATTTAATACCTAATACAATGAGATGCATAAAGGCGCATAAGACAGTTGATCTATAGTAGTTTCAATTAATAGTATTTCCTATTACAGATGGAATTAAATGTGGATGCCAGTATAAGGCAAGATGATATCCAAGATCAGTATTAAAGCAAAAAATTTATAATTTAGGTCATCTATGACATGTCAAGGGCCAGAAACTATGTTTTGAGTTGAATTACTTGGAGGTCTTTAATTATTTGACTGTCTTCTCAAAATCTGCTCTTATCCCACTTAACAAAACAGATACTGTTGTTGATATCAGCTGCTCCTGACTTGCTCACTTCTGTTGACGCTTGCTATCTCCCTTCCTAAATCACCTGGGCAACTTTCTGTGGTGTACATTCAAAGAGAATTAATTTTGAACCCCAAACAGTAAGTTTCTTAGAGCTAAGAAATTTTAGCTCAAGTATTCTGATTTTCTTTGGATCCTTACAGTAATCAATGGTGGGGACTAAATACAGTATGGACCTGTCAGGTGATGATAATTTCTGTAACAGGGTTACATTCATTGTAAGAACTTGTCTGTTTTGTTTCTTTTTAATCCCACAGATGTATTTAGTGATTTTTCCAGAGGGGACTCGGTACAATCCAGAAATACCAAAAGTCATTGCAGATAGTCAATCATTTGCTGAAAAGGAAGGTAAGCAAAAAAACGTTTTGAATTTTTCTTTTGTTACAATGTTAACATATGTTACATAAAATTGTTTTATAGTAGGAAGATGGTGTCACCTTAACTGGACTATTAAGCCTGCGTGACTGATACTTCACGGTTAGAATAGCCCAAGCCGGTGTTTCTCTTATCACAGAGTCAGATGAGTAGCTTATATACAGACATTTCATGCATTTCACATTGTGCAAGGGTATTGATTCTCAAGAAAGTTCTCTTTAGTTTCTATCTATATCTGTGTTTTTATGGACAATTCTTCTCTTGCTCCTTCAGGGACATAAGAGTTCCTACACTGGATCAGAGCATTGTTCCATCTAAGTTGATGTAACTCCAATCACAGTTGTTACTTGATATGAAGAATGTTTTGCATAGAGACTGTTGTGCCTTAAAAAAATCTTTCATCACATCATTTTTAATTACTGTTGCTACTACCATGGCTTTTTGGTTTTGTTCCTCTCTCACCTTCCAGTCTCACCTTTCCTTGATTGAACTTTAGTATGTAGTCGCTTTGAACGTTGGCGTTGTCTCTGTAACCACAGATGGAATTACTTCATCTTTGGAAAGGCTTGCAAAAAATCTAAGGGTCCCAAGCTTTTTCATTTTTCTCACATTACATGCACAATACACGTAAACTTTGAAGTCCAGCAGTTCAGTGAATGTTTCCTGGTTTTGTTTTTTCCTGTTGACCAAAAGTGAAATAATTCACGCTGAAGGTAAACAAAGAGTAACAAATAGGTCTGGTAAATTCATTTCTGTGACACACTGAAATGAATTCACAAGTCTGTGAATCAGCCTGTTGATATCATCAAGCTATTAAGTATTGTTAGCTCTTGTCCAAAAGGATATATGCTTTTCTTCTCCTCCTTGGGAAGAATGGAATTTGTTTGCGTGTATGAGCAGGAGAACTTAAGTCATAATGTACTTATTCATCGCTTTAGTTTCCTGTCGGAAACGAAAGTCAAATGTTTCATTTAGGTTGGCAGTTCTTTGAGAGTTTACGGGGGCTGTTTGATGGGGTTTTTTATCCTCTTTCAGGGAAAAGAAAGGGCTCTCATCATTATTATTATTTTAATTAACTTCTTAATTATATCTCTGCAGTCTGCAAAACTGAAAAACATTGCATTTGTGCTTTCAGAGCACCTGTTTTGTTTCTTCGAGTGCTTTTCACTCTGGTATTGGTCTGCTTTTATTTTGTAAGGGTTAGTCCTTGTGAAAATTCTTAAGACAAATAGTTATTAAACAGAAAGTATCTCCTATTCTGCTGCAGAATTCTCTTGATCTGCTTTCCCCTCATTGCTAAATTTTTTTTGTTGGTGATCTCTCCCCAACGTCTCTATACGGAGAGAATGGGAAGCAGTCTGGATCAGACCTTGCTTTCCTGCAAGTTCATGTGAGGATTAATACTCGAGAATGGGAAGCAGTCTGGATCAGACCTTGCTTTCCTGCAAGTTCATGCGAGGATTAATACTCCCTCCCTGACAGGAGGGTGTAGAGAGGTGGGGGTTGGCCTCTTCTCCCAAGGGAATAATGACAGAACCAGAGGAAATGCCTGAAGTTGGGGCAGGGGAGGTTTAGATTAGATATTGGGAAGAATTACTTTCCTGAGAGCGTGGTCAGGCACTGGAATGGCCTGCCCAGGGAGGTGGTGGAGTCACCATCCCTGGGGGTATTTAAGAAACGTGTAGACTTCATCCCTGGAGGGATTTAAGAAACATGTAGACTTCACTGGCACTTCAGGGTATGCTCTAGTGCCTGGGATTGTTGGGTGTGGTGAGTGTTGGTGGTGATGAGCTGTTGGTTTTTTTGCTTTGGTTCTGTGTGGTTTTGTGTTGGTTTTTTTTTGTTTTTTTGTTTGGTTGGACTCGTTGATCTCAAAGGTCCATTCCAATTATGAAGATTCTGTGATGAGGGAGCTGTGAGGATGGGGAGCACTGCATGGCCACTGATGGAAGATGACAAAGACTCTCCATGGTCCCACCACGCCACTGTGCAGCTTGTGATTTCCACCCAGCAGCCCCAGTGCACCACGATGCTGGTTGCTGGTCGCGTGCTGGGGCTGCAGCACGGGCACCGTGACCAGTTGATCACGAGCTTCTCATTTCGTACAGTTTTAGGAAAGGTAGTAATGCCCCGTAGCTCTGCCAGTCAGAGGAACGAGGACGTACTGTAACTTCTAGGTTAAAATTTGTACTTCATTCATTGTGGAGATATGAAGAAGTCCGATAATTTAGTCTTGTTGTCTTAGCATGTTTGTTACAGAGCACCGTGATTCAGTGTTCGCTTCACAGACATGCAGGGGAATTTTTTTTTGCTTGTTTTTATACCTTAAAATAATAAGTTTTCCTGACCTTTTTTGCACAATTCATGTGTTGACAAAATAGTACAAGTGTAATACTGGATAAAGTGGTTTAATTAAGAAGAGTTAAACTTCAAATTTATGGTAGGACCAATGATATTGTACCCAAAGATAACAAAGCTGTTCCTAGAGCACGAGCAGAACTCCTGTTTATCATGCTGCCTGAAATACTGGTTTTGACATAAGTGTGAGTATATGTTGTAGTAGTTTTGCAGAGGGGAAGTATGAAATGGTTTTGTGGGATTTGTGTTTACTTTTACTCTCCATGGGCTGGATTATCTTCCAGAGAACGTTCGTTAGTTTAAACAGAATTATTAGGCCAAACTCAATTACCTGGTCTGAGCGTGAGCAGCTGATGAGCTGTATCTCAAATCTTGATGTTCTTTTTAAGTAAACACCATTTTTGGACACAGTTACTGCCTTTTTACAATCAGGACGAGGACCAGTTCATCAAAAAGAAGTTCGGGGGAAAAAGTCTTAGTTTGATATTCAAAGACATGCTTTCACAGTGCTGTTTTCAACTATTATGTCTTTCCTCACTGATACGAATATATAAATAAATCTTTTCTATCTGTGAATAGGATGGAAGGATATCAAACAGCAAAAGAATTTAGAGGTGATTGAGGCCACCCTTGAAAGAGAGGCAACTTTTTTTAATCCTTCATGTTACAGTTTGTTCTGCCAGAAGACTTGGGTTCTACACCAAACCTTGACCCCTAGCAAGAGCAGATGGATTTCCTGTCTCTGAAACACAGGAAAATCAAATACACGGGGTAGATCCAGTAGATCTGGGTAGATCTGGATATGAGTAAGTTGAGACTGAAGGCTAAAAAGCACGGAGAAACTTCTAGGGAAGGAGTAGGGCCATGTACTTTTTTACTATTTTTAGAAAGAAATAAGGACTATTGTAGAGTAAAAAATGAAATCCATGAACTGGTCTTGAAAATTCGTCATTAACTACCTTGCCAAGTTCAAGTTGAATGTACTGCCAGGTTTCTGTTTATTAAAACTGAAGAATGCCAAAACCATCTAGAGGTCAAAATGGTAACATTTGGGCATTAATATTCCTGGTTTTCATGCTGGAGACTGACACATGCACATTAGCCTTCAGTGCTGATGGATTTGACGCAGCCAAACTCTATTCTAATTAATTTGAAGTCCACCATAGCTGTATTCAGTGGGATACAGAAAGTTCTCTGCTTCCAGGAGTACTGGTTTTATGGTGATAAACTGAGAATGTTATCATCTCAGGATAATGCTAGTACCTTCAGAAACTGCAGATTACTCATTCTACATGTTTTACAAGTGACAGAAAATTCCAGTCACGTCAGATTTTTACCCAGGATAGAACAGGCAGCATTTTAAGATCAAAATACATTTGATTGCATTGGGGAGAGAAAAAATGCCCTTCCCAGAGTTTAGAAACAAAAGCAAAAGCGACCTCTCTAAAACTAGTTTGGTTATATATCATAGGATTAATGCGGAAGTTATTCATAGAACAAGTTAAATTCTGTTGAGTTGAGAAAATTAATCAGATATTTATCTTTGTTGGCCAAAATAGCAATATTTGCTGGGGTTTCACAGCCATAGCAAACCACGTAAGCAGTGCCAGAGTACCAGATGATGGCCCCTGTCAAGTTTTCATGTTCCTGTTGGAGGAAATGAGAACACCCCACTTCCAAGCTGATGGGGACACGTGCCACGTAGCTGGATTTGAACCAGATGCTACTTGTCCTCTCCTTAGGTGGCTGCATGAGGTGATTCCAGCAATTACTAGCAGGACGGGCTCTCTTTTTCTCCAGGTTTTAGTATGGTTGGTGACTAATGTGTTTCAAATGGGACATCTTGTAAGAGTCTCATAGTCAAATGGGAGGGGAAGATATTTCTCCCTTTACTCTCTGTCTCTGTCTTTCTCTTGAAGATCTAAGAATGTGACGGTATCTGTTTGGCCTCTTGGCCTCTGAGCTTTTGCCATCCAACTTCCACTACTGAAGTGTATAGTCATGAATCTTGGGTTAGAGTTTGCTTTAGGTTTTCCATTGTAAGGGAGAAGTTGGCTAATGTGATTCCCATCTTCAAAATCTGGGATGCAGCCTTTCCGTTGACTTACGTAGTGGTGACACCTTTCAGGCTCTGACCTGTTGCTTTAGGCATCCTAAAAGTGCAGTGATTCTTCCACACTAGTCAGTGGGCTTGAGTTGCTGAATCCAGGGAATTATAATATGTAGATGGCAGTCATATTTTCATATGGATTTAACTCTAATCTTGTCATAATGTCAGAAGTGGTAATTTTTATTTTATGTATTTATTTATTCCAAACTGTAAATCTTCTAAGGCTGAGTGTTTTTAATGGTACTGGACTACAGAACAAAATTTCTATAAAACCCACAAAATACATGATTATTATTTTTGTACCAGCTTCTGGTATAAAATTTGTTCCATTTATATTGTACCAAAATATATATATGTATAGATTTCTGATCATTTTCTGGGAGTTAGACCTATATAATGTTCCAAACAACCACAAATTTCTTAGGCTTAGCAGGATATTAATTTTATCCAAATGTTAAGCAATGGCATTCTAAAGATTTGAAAATAAATAGAAGTAATCCAAAGC